CTTTCTTCACTACCTGAGCTCTGCAGAGGTCAATGTGTGAGACTGCAGAGTCCTTCAAGGGTTGTAGAAGTCCTTTGTATTCACTCCATACTTCATGCTGTATTTGCCTTTGAAACAGTAAAACTTTCTTCTCTAGCATGGGTGAAACTGTACTAGGTTTCCTCAGCTGCGCTCTGCTCTGCCATCCCATCTCTGGAGACTGCAAGCAGCAAGAATCTGCTTCAGCAGCTGGCCATGGCTCTGCTTTCATGTGCTGTCTCCAACTTCTAGAAGTCCCAAAACTACAAGTGCTTTTCTTCTGTGGTGATTCTGTCTCATTCTGTGGGGAAAAAACACAAGTGAAGTGTTGTTGGGATGGTGGAGAAGCTCTCTGCCTATGGAAACTGCATCATTCTTATCTGTCCAGAGGCTGCTTGGCCCCACCTCCCAGATGCAGGAACCTTCACCACGCTTGCAGGTGGCGCAGCTGCCCAGGTTAGCTTAGTGTCCTTTGGTAACCTGTTATACAGAGTTACTTTAATGGGAGACCATCTTCATGTCCTGGAGGAAATGGGATTTTTTTTTCAATATTGCACCACAACAGCCTGGTTTGTTGCAGTTGTTTTGGAAGAGACAGGTGATGACTCTCTGAGGACTTGAGCTGGACCAGCTTGAGTTGGACTTAAGCTTGTTGGGGTGTGCAGTAAAATGACTGACTGTCCTTATTCCTAGAATCAAGAAGCTGGATTGCTTCTAGGATTGGTTGCATTTGTCATGTTGCCATCGTGCCTTCTTTCCAAAAGCTTATTTGCTTTGGCACAGACAGGGCTGCTGTCACTATATGATCTTTACGTTTGGCCTCCTAAAACTCTGAAGATTTTTTTTTTTCTTCACACTGCTTACAGCCCCTATGAGAACAACATTATGGTTTTCCTTTATTTAGATCTTAGATATAGCAAACTATCATGAAGTAACACATTATTATGTGTCAGTGCTTCAGTAGAAACTGTGTGTATAGAAACAAATCTTATTTTAAATCCCCAGTCTTTGATCTTTATATCTGAAGCCAAAAACCAGTAATTTTAAGGCAGGATTTCGGGATTTTTGAGCCAAACTATTGCATGCTAACAGGGACTTTCCATTCGTTGTCAAAATTCAGTTCACTAAAACACATCTGTTTCAGAGGCAGAATATTCCTTATTCCAGTGCTTGCAAAGCAGCTTCCTGGAGCTCTAAATGCATCCTTACTACTAAGAATTAAGCATTTGTGCCCATTTTCAGTGCAGAAAACCACCAGGCATGCTCTGTGAACATCCGTAAAGGATTGTGTAAACATAGCAGCACTTAAGGGAAAACAGAAGTCCTCCGGATTTTTTGTGCACACTCTACTTGTGTTCTGATTTCACCTGTCATATACAGCCTGTCATACTGTAGTCTTGTGCAGCTGAGAGGAAGTGACTAAATAAGGTACAAGAGTACTTTTACACAGTTGACCTAAAACATGGGGGGAGATGAGGACGTGTGTTTTATGCTGTTCTAGGGGCAAAATCTGGGTGAGTTCAAGTGCTGGAGGACTGTTCCTCTTGGAAATTTCCTTTGGATGGTACAGCTATGCTGCAGCATGCTCAGAGGTTGCATGGGGGAGGAGTACTGGTTTTGTTCCCTTTTTGACAGTCTGTGTTGATCACATATACTTCTGTAGGTCATTACAGGTCATTACAATTCATTCTAATTTTTCTGTAGATCCTGAAACTGTAGTATTGTACTAATCAGTAAGTGAAGACACCAGGATTTATATTTTCACATGAAACCTTGCATATGATGTTAGGCTACCTTGAGGCAAAACCCCCACACTGTAGTCTTCAGCAGTGATTTTACTTTGCTTCAATTTTACTACTATGACCTGAAGAATACTAGCGTGTGTCCGAGAGCTCTCACTCATAGGGGAGCACTGCTTTCCTTGGGATGTCTGTTGAGCCAGCTGCTGCTATTAGGTACCTGGCTCTATCCGTCAGTCAAAATCCCCTGCCCTGATTCTGGTAACAGCAGCTGAATTGCTGTGTTCTGACAGGCAAACTGTGAAGGCTTCAGAAGTTAAAATACACAAGCTCAGCAGCTGCTTTACAGAGCTGAACTAGCCTTACAAGAGGAGTCAGGGAGGAGACACAATGGCTGGTGGCAGGAGCCTCTGTAGTTGCTTCCCCTTAAGAACCAGCCTCAAGCCACTTGGTTTTGTTTGAAGTGTTGTTCTTTGGGTAATGTGATTGTTGCACATCGTGGAAAAAACAGCAGGCATTGCGTTTGGAAGGTGCGGTGCCGTTGTTCCACAGGTTTCCATTTCAGTCGCCTCTCCATCGTGGTCTGAATTGTGGAAGGACGCTCTGTTGGAGCTGGGTGCATGGAGACAGAGCATGGATGCTGTGCTGCCCAAGGCTGTTGTTACTCTGTAGTTCTCACATCCTGAGTGTGCTTGTCAGATCCATGCAAAGCACTGGATATGGGGGCGGGGGTAAGTGTCAAGCCCCCACACATCTTCAGCAGCAGTTTGGAGCGGAGCAGTGGCTCCAGGCTGCTCTCTTCTTGCATCACTACTTTGGTGCTGTTTGTGCAGGAACAGCTCATAGTGAATTCCAGAATGCTGTGTCTCTGCAACCCAGCCACAAGAGCCAAATGTCTGGACTGAAGCTGCTATGTTTATGAGTTGGGTCAGGGAGAGCAGAGGTGGGAAAGTGCAGAAGAAGAAATGTGCTGGGTTTCCTCTTAACTGTCTCCATGTCACACTTGGAGTGATCCTCTGGTGCACATTCCTCCAAGCATCTGAGCTTTTGTGTCTCTGTATAACATTCAGTGTTGCACTCTCAGTTGTGTCATGCTGGATTAAATGCATGTCTGAACCACTCATTCCTTTTACGAGGACTGGAATGTAAACATCCTCTCACTGCAGAGCAAATAGAGTGAAAACTTCTGCAATCTTTCTGTCTGTCAGGAGAACCCCAACTTCACATGCCCATGGAAGTGAGATAGCACTCTGATCTTGCCTTGCTGATTACAGCAGCTTTCAAAAATCCTCTCTGAGGGAGAGTCAGGAGCTGTCCAGGTTGACAAATATCATTCATGCATCTGTTTTCTAAACAGGAGGGAAAGAAGTGACTTGAGAGTTCTTGATTTGAGTGAGACTTTAAAGTGTACCATGTGAGGCTGCACGCTGCGCGTGAAGTAGCAGAGGTGTCTGCCCAGAATGCAGAACAGTCTCCCAGCAAGGGGCAGCACTGCTCCTGGAGAGCAGCTGCCTTCTGCAGTGAGAACTCTTTCATTTTCAGAATGTGATCTAGTGTGGCTGGAGCTGCAGAGCAGTGTGGATGCTATGGGAACGGCTGGATCAATTTGGTTCTCTCAATCCTGCCAGCTGAAATCATACCTCTGGTTCCAGGTGCCCACTTCATTTGTGGGTATCAAGTGGCTTTAGCTGCCTTTCACCATAGGTGTTGTACTGCTGGACTGCATCTTCGAGCTGAAAAGCATCCAGATTGATAAATTTCCCTCTAGTGTAATTACACTGACTCAAATAATATGGGAAAGGGGAATAAATTCCTATGTGAGGTGGAAGAGGTGCTAGATTTAAATTGAAGTCTCATTAAAAGCAAAAGTCAGGATTGTGTTGTTAAAACAGTGTGCAAAGAGCTCCCAGAATAATAAAATATCAGTAGGGTGTGATGATGAAACAGTTTTGTATGACCTTGTCTCTGCTGTGGTTAAGTACAAAGATGGTAAAGAAACAGAGAAGGAAAAGAGAGTGCAGCAAATGTTCTTTGGTGTAGGATTGAGGGAGATGGGGGCTGTTTTCCAGCAGACTGGAATGCCTTGCCTGAAAGAAACATCCATAGAGTAACCTCCCCATGGAAGGTGAGGGGGCAAAGTAGTAGGAACCAGATACGTACCTGGTTTGAAGATACCAGTGTTGACATGTGCATCTTTAGGAGAGGACACAAGTTCTTCATCAGGACAGCTAGGTGCCTAAAATGGTACAGTCTACACACAGACTGGCTTCCTCTCACTCCAAACCAACCAAAAGAGCAGCAGGAAGAGGGAGCCAAGCCTTTCTTCACTGTTTGTCTGTGTGGGAGCATCTCAACACATGATCATCTGGAAGGTGCTGTTTTGGAGTGAGGTGGCCTTGACATGTGAATGGTGAGGTTGTGACTTTAGGTTGTTTCTCAGCACTTCAGTTCTTGGAGACAGTTTTGACATTAAGGCTGGCTCTTAGGATGGCCTTAGCTTCTGTAGTGTTCACCCTGCACTTTACTTTGGGACATAATATTTCAGTGCAGATAACTGGAATACACAGTTGAATCAGTGGGTCCCTTCTGCCAGTGACTGAGATGACAGCTTTCCAAGGAGTGAGAAGAGTAAAGGCTCCCTAGTTTCTTGTATCTAAACTTAATCTCTCACACCGTCTTTTTACATGTGCGATAACATCTATACCAAAATGAGAAACTTGGTGTTCTCATTCCTGC